TAGATGCCTGGCATCTTCAGGGTTAGGGCTGAGACTTTAGCCCTAACAGACAGAAATGATGGGCAGATGAAGGGTGAGTATTTGAACCTTTCTGCATCAGGCAGATAAAGCCATGAGGTCACCAAAGCAAAATACTTGGTCTCTTTACTGAAATCTCATGTTCCTTAATAAATTAAAACTCTTAACTTCCAAGGTGTGCACAAAACCATGAGCCCTTTGGTTTTTCTGTGTGATGTACCACGCCCTATGCCCCTGCCTGGATGTCCTTCTCCTGTCTACTGAAGAGGGAAGCTTGGGATGGAGGGGAGAGGCTTTCAGCTCATGTGGAGGCATTAATTCTTCCCTTGCTTCCATGAGCCAAGGGGAGGGTTTTTTACACTGGGAAATGTGCACTCTTAATAGAGCTTGCTTCCTTTGCCCATGGGCCCCTCTGCTGTGGTGCCTCAGAGGGTGGCCGCCACCTATCTGCATCTGGTGTCAGGAGTTCTCCCCTAAGAAGCCCAGGGTTCAAAGTGCAAACCACAAACTAATGTCCCACCAGTCTACTCTAAGGGCATCCTACTCTCCAAGCTCTGCCTTGGACGACTTTAAAATATGTAACTTATTTAAATACTCTGTAGTTTCTATTGTTGGCCTTTGTGGGTAACTTTGTTGGTAATTATGTTTAAAATCAACAGTCCTTGTATGCAGTGTACTGAAATCAACATCCTCCCCATCCTCTTCCCACCTCCACTGACTCTCTTCTGCCTACCTAGTCCCCCTCCGTTCCTCATTTCCTTCTTATTTGGGGGATGGGGGTACAGGCCGTCACAGCTTCTGTGTCGTGATGACTGCAGCAGCCGTGTGATCCTAAGTGAGTGCTCCACCACACTCTTCCCTACCTGTGGTTCCCAAGTCCTTTTGCCATCTTCTTCTATGATGTTCCCTGGGAGTAGGAGGTATGTCCCATTTGCCATCAACACTCAGTAGTCACTTATTCTTGTCACTTTGACCATCACCCATTGCCAGAGCAGGCTTCTCTGGTCAAGACTGAGTGCTGCGTTGTTGTATTAGTATAAACATTTGGGAGGCAGTTCAATTACATGTCCATTTGGCCAAACATAAGTAATGGGTCCCTAACAGATCCTGTGACCAGCCTGCTTGGCCACAGACAGGCTTTTGAGCAGCTTTGCAAGTGCTAGGCATGCACGCCCTCCACTGGAGTGTGCTTCAGACCTGATCAGGAAGCACTGGCTGACCCAGGACATTCATGTCACTACTGGAACAGTGGGCATGTGATCCTTTACAGCTTTTCTTACCCAGTGGCCTGCATAGCACCATCCAGCACTCTGAAAGCTAGCTGGGAGAAGGGAGGGAGGGAGGGAGGGAGGGCTGCCAGCTCACAGCCAACTTTTTCTGTGTTTTGTATCCAGAACATGTGGTATCTTCAGCAATAGGGTTTTACTGACTAGTTCTGGTGGGCAATCAAGAACAATGGTAATACCCATATTACTTTGGTAGACTCTGTGGGCTATGTGACCATCTCATAGGGCACTCTCAATTCCAACTTTTTCTGTGTTTTGTATCCAGAACATGTGGTATCTTCAGCAATAGGGTTTTACTGACTAGTTCTGGTGGGCAATCAAGAACAATGGTAATACCCATATTACTTTGGTAGACTCTGTGGGCTATGTGACCATCTCATAGGGCACTGTCCTACACCTGGCAATGGGGTTTGGCTTTGAAAACCTGACCTGGATGTGTATTGTTGACCTTTCTTAATAGAGGAGGAAACCTAGGTTCAAAATTTTTTAACATTTTTTCTGTCTCATGACTCATCATTACATGGTGGGCTGCACTGCTCTGAAGCCCACATTGTTCTAAAACTCAGCAGTACTTTCCAGTTTTAGTAGGCTGGCCTGAACATTTTAACTTTATCTTATTAAGGAAGACACAATCCCTTTCACCCATAGTCTCTTAGCTCCGAAGAACTTCGTTACTGAAGCATCTTGTTCTGAACTGTGTTCAAAGTCTGGGCTTTGTCAGCCACTTGAAGACAGCGACTACAAGGAAGGCCCGAGAGTGTTGGAAGTGGAAGGGTTCACTGGGACTCATGTGGATGGCATTCATCTTCCCCAGAACCGGCTAATCTGCTGCCTCTCTGCCTTCCGAAGCCCCATTTAAGTTTTAATTATCTGCACCCTGAGCTGCTGTGTTGAGGACCTCTGAGAGAACAAACTGCAGTGCTACAGTTTCTAGCACTGCTCTTCCCTGCACACCAGTGCAGCTCTTGTTGCCCCTGTCCTCGTTACCAGGTGACATCAGTGACTGTGCACCACAGAGACAGTGCTGAAGGGAAAAGAACACACGTCAAGCTTTATTTGCAGTCCAGGGTTTCCTGTGGCAGAGGAGTGATGTCCACTCTTGCTTAAATGCTAGGATCATTTTGTTTTGCTTTTCAAATAAAGTTAAAAAACAAAACAAAATAAAAAGAAATGGACTCCATCCCAACCCTTTTACTTGGGTTTTCAGTTAACAGCTTCTTATCCACCTTTCGGGGGTACTCCATTCTGAGCTCTAGTGAGGAAATGAGTCTGTGGTAGATGTCTGTGCCTCCTCAGTCATTGCTTAAGGGTCTCCAAGTAAGACAGGCCTCTGAATTATTAGTGTAGGGCCCCAAGCTGTCAGCAGTCAGTGACACCCAGACGTTTGTTGAAACCACATGCTGTTTCTAGTCTGTCTCTTCAGTGCAGGAGAAGGGGGTCTGGCTTCCTTCTTTCTGTGTTCCGTTTCTTGAAGTGTGGCCTTGGGTAAGGACATCAAGCCATCTCTGTAAATTATGCTGTATTGTACAAGCTTAGAAAGCATGTGAGCTGGGGGTCAGGGCTTGTTTCAGGCATGCTGTGTAGCCAGCAAGAAGCCTGATGTACAGTGATGAATGGCCCATTTGACCTCAGGATTATGGGCGGAGATAACACTGTCTTCATTTATGTGGGGCTTTGACCTGGAGACATTTCTCAGTGTTCTTCTCGTCTTATCTATTATTTTGTTTATTGTCATGAACACTGTCATTAAAGTTGTAAAATGTGTTCTATTACAACTGTTTGTCTTCAGTTGCTTGTAACTGTGTTGCAAGGGATGAAAAGATTGAATAATTTTGTCTCCTCCTGCCATTTACATCAGAGTAAAATTGGGAAATGATTGTTCTCTAAACTTGAGCTTGATTCCATGTTTAGAAAGCACCTGCTTTAGGCACTGCCAAGGGAAGAGTCCTGTTAGTCACCTCCTGGCTCCTGTGCCATGCACAGTAGGAAAGCTCCTTCTTGGGTGACTCAACCTTTCCAATAGGATATTATCAGATTCCATCCAACTGCCTGCTCCAAGATTGCAGACAGCAGCACTCAGGCTGTCTTGGCCATGTGCGGTTGAAAGTGCTGTGCTAGTTGAGTTCCTGTGGTTACAGGAAATGATCAAAATTAGATTCAGGCCAAGGTGCCAGGATTAGTACACCTCTTCGCTCCCAGAAAGCACACAGTAAAAGACAACACAATCTCTACTACTCAGACCATTAAGAATTTCATTTAAATGAACTCTCAGCCCTCCCTCTTGGTCTGCACTGAGGCTGAGGAAATCAAGAGAAGGTAGGAGCGGTTGCCGGTCTCAGCAAGGGAAGGATGGTTCTCCCTGCAGTAAGTCCAGGCATTCTGAGTAGCTAGTCCAGGAGATCCCGTTAGTATGGGTTACGAAGATGAGTGATTGGCTTGTGTCAAGGAGCAGATGGCTAAATGAGGTGCACAGGGAGTGCCATGAGGCTCAGGCTGGAAGAAGCGGAAGAAGATGGCCCATAATGCAAAACCCCTAAATATAGTCTCATTAATGTGAATGCTTCAAATAGTCTTTTACATTATACAATTAATTCAGAGTGATGAGAAATGTTAGGAAATTATGGAATTAGTGAGCAGCGATTAACTTAGAAGTAAAATTCTATCATCTGAATCGGAGGTTGTTCTACATGCAGAGTGAGGATATTACTAAAACCTTGCTCGGCCCGCCATCTCCTAATTGAAATCTGTTCTCTCATATGCCCCCGTCCCTCAGTGCATGGTTCACAATTTGGAAGAATGTTCTTAGTTAATCTAGTTATTTATCATGGTTCTTCCTTTGAAGTCCAGGGAGATAGCATAGAGCACATTCCCTGTGTTACTGTGTGACACTTAGAAGACTGAGTTGTGTCTTCATTAACCTGTGAAGTGTTGGTCGTTTTAGAGCTAAGGGAGCAAGTTGCTCCAAGGTTTAATGCTTGTTTGTCAGAGATGAAGCCTCTAGAGAATGGATGGGGTGAACAGGCCAAGACACTCCAGACCTGCCCGGTGAAACTCCACACCATGTGCAGATGCAGAGCTGTGGGGCCCAGAGGGAAGCTGCAGAGCAGGCTGGGTCCTCTCTACAGAGAAGGCTCCCCAGCAGTAAAGTGTGGGACTGGTGTAAGTATATGGGCCTCACTTCCCAGTGGGGACTTGGGAGCAGTACTATAATAAAAGATGTCCATAGTGGTTTTGTTTTGTTTTGTTTTTTAAGTTTGTGTGCGTGTTTCCTTCTGGACAGGGAAGCAGTATTGATTCATGCATTTGTCTGCAATGGGTGGAAGCTCTTGAAGCTGAAACGTTTGATTTTGCCTGTAGTTTTGCACATGAATCCAGATAGACTCCTAGCCATGAGGAAGGTAGAAGACCGTTGTTATTCTCCAGGGTAAATATCTCATGGGTTTACATTTGTTCTGACATACACGGATTGAACTAAATAGTACTTGGTGTGATTTCTAGGCGAGTCAGAGCTGAGGTTTGCTTAACTCCCTGTGAAGTGGCATGGCCATGAGCCAGTCAAGAAGGTTGACTTGAGAATTTTCAAGGTCCCATGTGCTCTGTGTGTGGTGTGGTGTGTGTGGTATGCCTTACTTGCCTGTGCCTGGCTTGGCTGTGGCGGAGCTCATTCCAACGCATATGCTTTGTTTTCACCCTCAGGTATATCCGAATAGTTGGGACTCACAACACAGTGAACAAGATTTTCCACATTGTGGCTTTTGAATGTATGTTTACAAACAAAACCTTCACTCTGGAGAAGGGCCTAATAGGTAAGTATTACAATGATAGTTTTGCATATTATACTTAGATACTTTGTCTTCAGATTTTTCTTACTTTAATAGTTCCTCTTAATCATCTCTGATTAAGGACATTAGTTGAATTTGAATGCCATATGGCTGAGTGACAGAGGCGAGCCTTTATTTGTGGAAGAATTCAAAATAATAAACTCAGTAAAGCTAAAGAAAAAACAAATATGAATATTATACCACAGCTAGGAATTCGAAGCATTTAGGGAGTTGTCCAGATTTACAGAATAGAAATTGCTCTTGATAGCCACGCAAAGGCTTCCACACCAAAGGCTTTTCTATATTTAATAGTAGGTGAGGCTGGGGAGGAGGTCTAGTATTGATTCGATGGTCATAGTTTCCAAGGCTACGAAGGCATGTTGGCTTTGATTTGAGATGAATGGTATGTGTAGCTGTGGGAATGTTTTCATAGACATGTCAGTTCCAGATTCACTCTGCTTAGCTGCCTGGTTTATTTTTCCAAGGGTATTTTAATTTCAGGGTTACTTTGCTTGTGAATGTGTGTTGTGGGAGGGGGGCTTTGTTTAGGCATTGCTTAGGCCCATTGCACACCATCCATCTCTAGTCTTGATCTTGGTGATGTTAAGAGTGCCTTTTGCTTTCCAGACAACTTACTCCCATGTCCTTGGGTTTTTCTTCCCTTCCTGCAAAGATAGGCTCATGAGATCCTTGAATTTGTGCTTTTACTGTAGCTTTCTTTGGAAAATAACTCAATATATGTTGGGAACAGGATATGCTTTTGCCTAGCCTTACCTAAAATAGAATTCTGTGCCTTTGAAGAGAATTCAGTTCTCTTGTCCATGTTGAGACACATACCCACACTGACACAAGTCTTCAAGCATGGCAGTGACTGTAAAAGGAAAGAGGAGTACAAACTCAACACACAGTCAATGGTTGGAGCCTAAAAGTCCCCACACCTGGTATGTTTCCCTTGCAGCGTACAGAAATGTCAAGACTGGAATTTTTTTGATTGAGGAAAACATTTTCAGAGCTCAACCAAAATAATTATTTTTCACTTTACTGTTGATATAATTAAAAATGAATTATTAGTGCTATTTTGTTAATGAAAATTAACATATTTGAAGCACCATGTGGTGTCATTGTCTTCTAATTCTGTAGGGTGTGTAGATTTGTGGCTATGGGCTTCCTAGGTCCTCTGGATACTTCAGGCTTCGTTGTGTGCAGTCAGGAGAGGCCTTGCTGAGAAAATCTGAGGAACCAAGACCCTGTAGATTCCCAACCTGTGTGTTAACATTTCAGCCCCAAGGATTGCATTCTTTTTTTTTTTTTCTTCCCCGAGACAGGGTTTCCCTGTGGCTTTGGAGGCTGTCCTGGAATTAGCTCTTTTAGACCAGGCTGGTCTCGAACTCACGGAGATCCGTCTGCCTCTGCCTCCCGAGTGCTGGGATTAAAGGCATGCGCCACCAATGCCCGGCTTAAGGATTGCATTCTTATAAATGTTTCACCCATGCAAGTAAATCCCCTTCATACTGAAGAAGACCAAGTTTGTTGATACTACAATTACTCAAGAAACAGGCCCATATAGAGAGGTCGTTAAAAGAACAAAACTTGGTATCGGTTATAGTGAGGCATGCATTCTTGCTCTGCACTTTTGTTTAGTCAAAGCTGATCCAGTCTGTAATAGTCTCGGGCATGTCAGATGATGGGAGAAGATTGCAAATGCAAGAAGTTTTGGGGTTTGGTAGGACACCTATTCAAGCTCCTTTCTACGAGGCATACAACAAGTGTGACTGCAAAGGGCACTGTCATCGCCCCCAGCAGCAGTGCTGGTAGGCAGCTGTGCATGTGAACTTACCAGCAGATGCCCTGCAGTGGGACTCACTCTGGACCTCCTGGGGGTCATCTTTACGGTTCAGAGCTGCACACACTAGGCAGGCAGGGAGCACGGGCTCTCAATACCCCGAGTCTGACACTGCAGCTTTGCTTGGCTTACAGAGCTGTTGAAAGCAGTAATGGACAGGATGTCCATTTTGATTGTGTCAGATGCGTTTTAGCAGCAAGTAGCCCTTAGCTAGCCATCCTGCAGAGACCTCCCAGGGATTGAGTGGACACTACAGGGGCACAGGCAGGTCAGATGTACTTACAGGAGAATATCTTAAGATGAAACCTCCTTGAGAGCCACTCACTAAGCCTGGGATTGTCATGGCTGGGAAGAAATAGGAAAACAACAAAAATACTGTGGGTTTCTAATAGAGTGTCTAGATTCATAGATTCTCAGTTCTCAGTCTTCTTTCAACAGTTCAGGGTCTTTTAATTATTCTTCTATAGACCTTAAAAATGACTTTAAAACGTTTGTGGTCATTAAAATAAGATTTTAGTGTTAAAACATGTGTTAATGCCAGCAAGTGACACAGCAAAGGGAGTGGTGTCAGGTCTGCATCCTAGTCTCTCCCGCCAAAGCACTCTTTCTGTGCTGCTGCTGCTCCTTCTTCTCCTCTTTGTTTTTTGTTTGTTTGTTTGTTTGTTTGTTTGTGGTGGGGGGTGTGTTTGTGTCTGTTCTGTTTGGTTTGGTAGACTCATAACTCATAACCCACTGTGTCTGTCTCTCACAGGCTGGGACTATAGGTGTGTGGCGCCCTGGCCTGTGCCTTTCCCTCTTCATGCTGCTTCATTTGCTCAGCTTAGCAGGAAAGCCTGCAACCTGATCAGGGGCCTCTGTCCCTGGGAGTGGGCCTGAGCTGATCATCCTACCCCTGGCTGCTGCTGCCACAGCCCAATCTCACTTGATGGCTGCTCGTAGATCTTGCTGGGACACATCCTTCTAGCAGAATGGGTCTGTGGTGATTGTCTTCTCCGTGTTAGGAAGAGTTGCAAGAGACCCTAACATGGCACCGGTGAAGCGTGGAGGAATTATCAGAGCAAAAGAAACTACTGTGTCATGAGTTCCCAGTCTCCCCGGCATGGTGTTTGTTTAGTACTCCACCTTTTTCTTTTTGGATCTTTCTTTGTAGACTGGCCTTGAACTCACAGAGATCCACCTGCCTCTGCCTCCAGCGTGCTGGGATTAAAGGTGTGTGCCACCACCACCACCACCACCACCACCACCGCCACCGCCACCCGGCTGTTCAGTGCTATACTTTGTGATCTTCACATATGTTTGCCAAGGGCTGATTTTTCATAGACATTGAGAGATTTTGCATTGATGTTTACTTCTCTGAGTAGCATGCTTCACTCATGTGAAGACTGCAGTCCCTACCACCTGTCCTGGGACCAACTCACAGCCAGCTTAATTTTATCTCCCGATAACTTCCTCCCCACCGGTTTACTGTTATTCTTATGTGTATGCATATTTTCCTGCAGATGTCTGTGCACCACATGTGTACCTGGTGCGCAAAGATGCCAGTAGAGGGGGTCAGATCTCCGAAACTGGAGTTACAGATAGTTGTGAGCCACAATGGGGGTGCCGAGCCCTCTACAAGAGCAGCCGGTCCTCTTAAGTACTGAGCCATCTCAGCCAGGTGTTGGTGGCGCACGCCTTTAATCCCAGCACTTGGGAGGCAGAGGCAGGCGGATCTCTGTGAGTTCGAGACCAGCCTGGTCTACAAGAGCTAGTTCCAGGACAGCCTCCAAAGCCACAGAGAAACCCTGTCTCGGAAAACAAAGTACTAAGCCATCTCTCTAGTCCCACCGCTAGATTATTTTGAAGTCAACCATAAGTGCCCTATCATTTACAATGTCCTCTGTAAATATTTCATTACATAACTGTTAAAGCAAATGTGTATTGTTATAAGGCCATTAAAATTCCTCAAATACTGCTCAGCCAGTATTGAGATGGCTCCTAATAGTTTCAAAGTCTGCAGTGAGAAAATTTGTACTTTGTAAGTTATTCAAATCATAATTTAAGCGGGAGGAAACTCTGTAGCACAGTGCTTGCTTAGCATTCGTAATGCCCTGGGTTCCATTCCCAGGACCCTCCCAAAATACTTCTGATAAGGCTCCTCATCTGCCCACCCCCCAAGACTCACTCTTTCTCTAGTAAGACTATTATTTGAAGAAAACAAATTTTTGTCTACAGAATAACTGATGCCCTGGATTTTGGTCACTGAGCACCAAGACATCCTCACCCATTGTATTTCTTGTGACACAGAAGTTAGAAGCCAAGTCAGATTTTACTGTTAATTTTAGGTAACTGCTCCACAGTTAATGTTGTGTGTGCTACGGCGTCACGAAACATGTACACGTTCAAATTGTCTTGCTCGGATTTTTCCATGTAATGATGACTATTCCACAAATCTGCTCCTTTGTAGTTTGAGAATACAGAATGCCTTCCAAGTCTGTCCTTTTTGGATAGCTAGGAAGAAAATATTTCTCTAAGGTTTCATTTGGTAATCCTGAGATGTAGCTTTCCCAGGAAAAGTGGGATGAATGTTACATTTTCCTTTCTGTACCAATTTTCAAATTGAAGAAGTAGCTCCCTAGCATCCTCCAACTGTGAGCCAAGAAGTAGGTTTGTGGGTTTCTTTAGGAGGGTGTTCACAGGGTTGCTCACAGTTAACATTTCTGTTGTTGTCTCTGTGTGATATATGCATGTGTGTGTGTGTGTGTGCTGTGGTATTTAGGCCAGAGGTCGGTTGCTGCAAGTCTTTCTCTGTCGCTATGAACCTTAGTTTTTGAGATAGATGTCTCTCACTGAAGCTGGAGCTCATTGATTGGCTTAACTGGCTGACCAGCAGGTGCTGAGGATCACCTGTCTCTGCGACAATGCGTGGGTGACAGACATGCACTCTTTACATGGGTGCTGAGGATCTAATCTCGGGTCCTCATGGTAGCACTATAAATACTCTAGCTCCTGAGCTGTCTCTCCAGCCATTCAACTTTTTAAAAACCATTTATCATTGGTGTTCAGACAATCTCATCTTAGATTGGTCCTTGGAGTGGGCAGTATGACTCAGCATTTCTGAGTAGTTCTCAGATTTCTAGCATGACACAGCACACTAGGTTCA